CTTTCGTTCATGTGTATGTTATTTGCACACTTGAACAATCACGTTAGACTGCACATACCACAGTTCTGCCCCGGGGACACCCGAACGAATCCACAAATGTTTTCTGAAGATCCTCTAGACTCTCCTTCAAAAATAAATTTACAAATTAGTACAGAAGTAATTGAAAATATGACCCTAAAAATGTAGGAAACTACAAACCTCAGCCACAACATTTTGCTCCATTATATTCATCAGATCATGCAGAAAATCACAGATGCAGAAAAACAGCTGAGGCTGTTGATATCTTGAAGCTTATGTCATCCACATTTCTAATTGCATTGTGCCAAGCAATTGATTTGAGGCACTTGGAGGAGAATTTGAGAGATGCTGTTAAGAATACAGTTAGCCAAGTTGCTAAGAAAACTCTAACAGTGGGTGTTAATGGGGAGCTTAATCCATCAAGATTCTGTGAGAAGGATCTTCATCATGTGGTTGATCGCGAATATGTTTTCGCATACATTGATGATCCCTGCAGTGCAAACTACGCACTGATGCAAAAACTCAGGCAAGTCCTTGTTGAGCACACATTGAAAAATGGTGAAACTGAGAAGGAGGCCAACACACCCTTCTTCCAAAAGATTGGAGCATTCGAAGATGAATTAAACGCCAATTGCCTAAAGAAGTCGAGAGTGCAAGAACTGCCCTTGAAGTGGAAATCCCCTATATAATAGTGGGATTATTATCAGAGGGAAGTTTCATGGCACACTTGAAATAAATTAACCAAGTAACAAAAGGATTTGATCAGTAATCAGAAATTTAAAACCACCCTTTTGGCTAAATCAAAACCATTTTAGAGCTAATAATCAGCAACAATCACTGATTCCTATATCCAAAGAGAAGAATAATCCACCATTTTAGAAGTTTTTGAAGTCTAGCACTTTCCTTTTCCATTTTCTATGACGTTCTTGGAGCTCTTACTCCTGAGAACAGGCATCTCAGAAGGAAAGGAAATGAAAGGAAAGGAAAGATCAGAGTCGACATTAGCCATGTTCCAAAATGTTTAGAGCCTATTTTCTTTACCATTTTCAAGCCGTTTTCTGTTTTCGATTTTTCAAAACAGTGAAACGCGTTCTCTTTTCTATTTTCGAAAATGCGTTTTTGAAAATAAGTTAAAAATTTACAAAGAAAACTCAAAACGACAAATTTGTCGTTTTTTGGTGTTTTCAGTTATAATCAAGTCAAAATTTTCAAAACGCGTTTTGGTGTTTTTAAAACAATTTTTCAAAATGCCAAAAAGAACACATTTCCAACCATCTCTAAATAGACACTCAAAATTCAAAACCCAAAATGAATTCGACTGTGATTGGATTGTTCGTGGTGATTCGAACAATAATATTGAAAAATCTTCAATTAGCTCGAGTGGAGCTAGTTGTGATCTTGATGATCACATTGCTCATGATGATTCGAATAGGTTGGCAACTTAAGTGGAGTTAGTGTGGCTCATGGTGATTCGGGCAGGTTTGGCAACTCAGGTGGAGTTGGCATTACTCATGATTATTTGAGCATGTTAAGGACTCGCCTGGAGTTGGAAGTGAATGGGATGATTCAAGGAAGACTCGGGCCTAAGGTTGTTCTGCTAGTATGCATGACTTAAGTTTGATTCACAGTTACTGAGTATACCCGAAATGGGCATGGTGAAAGAGTTGGAGAATAACTTGAAGACGGTGAATTAATTCCTTATTTTGGAATTTGTGTCAAGGCGGAATTTGTTAGATTATAACTCAAATTCTATGTTTTTGCAAGTTTGATACATTGAGGAAGTCTAGATAATGTTGGATTAGAAGTCCGGATAGATAAAGAATCAAATTTCATTATGGATAGAAAGTTTGATCAGGATAAGAACTTTGGGTTGACGCCTCATCAAGATAAGGGAACTCTTGTGTATTATAATTCATCTATATCTCCAAGATTTGGCTCCTAAAAATACTCCTCAATGTGTAGGCTCTTGGTAGACAAAACATAACAATTAGATCATTGTTGGATACATTAGATATTTGAGAGATTAAATCTTCTAAAAACAATTTTATTTTCTTGGTATAATAAGTTCTTCTCTTCTTCCACAAAAATCTTGTCTGTTGTGTGATCCAATTATTTTCATATTACCCATATTTTCTCGTTCTTAAATTATTTGGTGGGATTCTCAACATTTTGCTACCTTGTTATGGAGTACAACTTCTCTTCGTATTGTCTACTACTGTTTGTATAATGTGAGTGGACTAAATTCCTCGACAAGGGCCTAATTTGGGTCTAAACACAATTTAGGATGAAATCGAGTTTATCAAGAACACCAATAATCTTCTCGTCCCATTCAAGATATTCTTACAATACTGATTCCAATCAACTAGTCAGTATCTCAATTATGTAGCTATTAAAATCCAAAGTCACATATCTAGCATTTTCCTATTAATTGTGCTTTGTCCTGTAAAAGAAGAAGGGATCAAAAGCAATCTTTTTCTCACACTGAGAAATTTGATAATATCTTTCCTGATTTTGGTACCATTTGACTATCACAGTGGTTAATGAAAAAATGCACCCATTTTACTTCAATTCAATCATTCCATTCACTGATTTTGATGAACGTTTAGGGGCCATCTGATTTAGGGGCCATCTGACATTTAACTAAAGTTCATCATTAAAGGTTTTTGAGATTCTCAAATATATGGAGAATCTCATCATTTTTTCTTTATCAAATTGAGAGCTATCAAATTGTGTAATATGTTCGATTTTAGATAATATAATTATAAGATAATACTTTGATAAATGGATTATATTTTATATAATTCTTTTCAATTTAAATAAAAGACGAGTTGGTCCACCTAACATACCTCAAGGAGTTCACGAGATCGAGTAGCCTACAACTCCCTTAACACCTAAAGTGAGACACTAAACTTCAAACCAAACAAGTTGGCCTAGAACTCATGGCTACACTTAGAGCAAACTTAACCTTTAAACTTATATTAGAATTTAAATATCTAACTAGCTCGTCTTTCATACTTACTTCAACAGAATATCATATATAATCGACCCAATTAAGACTGAACAATTATCAGAAAGACCTTGATAAAGTGGCAATAGTGGTTCGTGGATACATCCTACCATCAACTACATGTCATATAAAATCAAGACCACGCTTCGTCAAATGGATAACAAATCTTGCACATTAAAGTGTTTAAAGATGACATAATTTGCACTATGAACCTTATATATCTTTAATTTCTTAATAATGTTGCACAGTATGTGACGCTATACGACATGTTTGGTATGCTACACTAAATAAAAAGGAAAAAAAATATATGCAATTACTTCGAAGATATTACGCCCCAGTTTGGTGTAGCTGAAAATCAACTTCTAAAAGATTTTGATAAAAGTTAATAAAATATATGTTTGAAAAATTATGAATTCATAATTAAATTAATTATTGACTTTGATTAAAATTAATTTTAAACCCCATCCCATCATGACTATATATATTTTAAGCAGAAAAGTATTATTAAAGCATGCTGGCCCCCTATTGAAAGGAGAGAATGCAGGCTACTTGACTTTAGAAACCACGTAAGGGAATGTAAAGCCTGCTTAAAAGAAAACAAGAATCTCCTCAAAAGCTAAAGAATGGAGTCTAATAGGAGACACAAATCAATGTGTAGTTACTTTTTGACCACTTATATTTTTCTATTTAACCATGCAACGAGAATGTCAATGAAACCAACTTATTGAAAAATGTTATCCCAAAGGCTAGAGAATCCTATGCGAACAACAATATAACTTTTGTTAATTTGATACTTTGTTGATTGAGACTTTAATTAGTTGAAATATCTATAATATATTAAATATCACATCAAGTGGGAATCATTTTTTGGACGATTATAGCCATACTGTAATTCAATTTATTTCAATAATAACTTATTTTTCATTTTTCAATATGTATTTAATTTACAAAATGTAATAAATACCATAATTAATTCTCAATTAATTAACATTAGCATTCACCGTCATTTAATTAATCACGTCCATATTATTAATTCTCAATTAATTAACATTCACAATAATTTAATGAATATTAATTAGAATATCAAATTCAAGGATACAATTCATTATTCACGTCCATGTATATTAATTAGCATCCAGTTTCACTTAACTAGAAATTAAAATATATTCATTCAATATAAATGATTTAACATTTATTATCACGTATACGTATATATTCATCTTCATTTATCTTCATTTATTCATTTGGTTGTAATTCTAATACTCACATTCAAGTACGCATTTCACTATTTATGTGCTTCTATAATAATTAACATTTATTTTCAGTTACTTGCATTTATCTTATATTTAGATCAAAATAGTAAATGACGGGTTAAATATCACTTTCACGACATTGATAAAGTATTTTAGAATAACGTGCAACGCACGTTCACTCTGACTAGTTATTATAAATAAGAGACTATAAGATTATAATTGTATGCTAAAATTGATGATTTAAAACAAATAATGTATTTAAGATGTCTTCTTAGAGATGAATTGATTGACTTAACTCGAACTAAAGATTTTTATGACTTTTTAAACATAACGTACTAAGTAATGTTATTTGTTATCGCTCACTATCACAATCACCTTATGCGGCATACATGTGACGGTTAGCGATTTGATGCATTAATGTTGTAGTTGAATAATGTTTCATCCATCAAATCTCTAACCGTCACATGTATACAAAGTATGGCGGCTGGGATAGTGAGCGACTGCAAAAGCATTATTCTAATGTACTGCATGAAAAGTCCAACACGAGCAATACTTGAAACAATTATCCATAAAACATAAATACTAAGATCAGCTAGAATAAGGCGATAATCACAAGAAATTACTAAATAATGTAATACAATGGATATGAGTGCTATGAATGGTCTGATGCTAAATAAACGTGTGTATCCCCTCTAGATGAAATAATTTTTTCTTCAAAAAGTAGTTTTGTACCATTTGCTAGAGCTTGAAGAATTCTCAAAGAGCCAACTTATTCAGGTCCAATGCATTTTTGTATCCCTACGATTCTACTACGGTTGCTTAATAATTTACTTTGATTTAATAAGAATGAAGGTGAGTCACTTTAGACATTGCTGACTAATTAATTTTACTATAATTAAGGAAAATTTTGTAAGTATAAATTGTTTTTAATGACTCGGGTATTCAAATTTCATCCGACTGATTTTGAAGAGTGGTGGCCTTTCCCTATTTTGCTACCACGATAAATCGAATGTGATCACGGCTTATACACACTTAAACTGAACATTCGGAAAGCAGTTCTCATCCCCCATTTTACGATGTACAAACGGACTCTAGAGGAATGACAAAGCCACCATGACTTTGTCTTCATGGGACATTGTCTTCCAACATAAATGTTTCCTTCAAGCTATCGCAGGAACTCGAACATTCGATACTCCAAATGTACGTTTTCTGAGTGTAAGCTTATTACACTAAGTATTACATCCAAACCTCATATTCAATATCTTTGATTTTTCTAAGTATCATTAATTATAGGAAAGATTTTTCGACAACGAGTTTTCCAGTATGTCAATTTAAGAGTGAGTGTTAACACCATCTGTCCCATAAAGATAAACTTACTCTTTTTTTTCGTTTCATCCCAAATTATAAATCATTCATTGTTGAGAGTATAATTGATTTCTTAGTTTTCTAATATGCTCATATTTAATATGTTTTCTTATCAACAAATATTAATTAATACTATTTAAATCATTATTTATGGTAGTGTACATTAGAAAAAATGTAAGTAAAATTTATATTCTCAATTATATTAATTACATTTTCTTAGTGAAAATGAAAACAATCATATCTTTATGTGACGGAATGAATATTTTGTTAAACATGAATACAAAACAAACACATGTATTATACATGATGGAAACGTGTTCACGAAAATATATTCCGAATTAAAATCACCGCAAGTATACAGTTCGTTAACAAGTAATAAGGTGGACTTTTGAGTTCGAGTGTCGTCCCACAAGAATTGATTAGTTATAATTCTAATTATCGTAACATTAACCGAAACAATAAAAATGAGAGTGTTCGTTTTGATAAATTTATAACTAAATTAATGATGTGGATGCGATTATAAAAGCTTTAACTAAACTAGATGAAATTATGTGAAATGCAAGTTGAAGTTTTTCTAATA